AATGTGCATTTGTTTGGGTCGACGCGTTAAAGAGCTTCTGAGACATGCAATTTCTGCCACCCGCAAGGGGAATGGGGCCCCGCTCCATCTATGAGTATTTATTTATTTTATATTTGTATTTAGTTAAGCTATCTAGCAAAGAACTATGTCTTTTGGGTTGGATTGTGCTATATATTGTAGGTTTGATTTACGTTGCAATGCTTTAAAAAAACTTTCAATCTATTTATTAACTGTCAAGGTAGTATAAAAACATCATCATAAGTAAAAATTACATCCAGATTCATTGATCATCTAGAGACAACTACAAACACTGGAGCGAGCCAAAGACGCATTGTCGTTATCACTCCTTCCTCACTGGAGCAGGGCAAACATTGTTGTAGTAGATAGTCGGGAAGTCATCGAGTTAAAACCACATAGGACCAGTGCATCAGAACAACAACCGTTATCAATGAAGAGTGGTGTAAATTGGAAGGATCCAACCTGTAGACACACAGTACGTAGATGAACGAAGACGGAATCCAAGCGGATCCGCTGAAGACAGACGCCGACCAGATCGCACGAGATCGCCGGAGGCACACCTCCTCATGACCTCCGACAACGCTAGAAGCTCTGCCGGGACAATGACTAGACCCGAAGAACCTTATTACACCTTCAAGAAATTATCATTGTCTGGTCTTTCTAAGCACGACACAAACCCCTGTCACATGGACACGGTAGAGAATCCCTGGTGTGTGTACCTGCGAGCAGTTGGCTGTACTGTACCACGCGTCAGACGTCGCAGCACTTACGCACGGGATGATACGGAATCTCCCGCGCGCTCGCGCTCCACTTGCAACGAACTGGCCACGACACGCACCCAATCAACCCATGGCATGGCGTATCGCGGCACATCACATCAATCACAGGGAAACGGCACTTTCGTGGCGATCGGCAGCGGATACGACGCGATTCTGCGTACTAGTACTTAAGAAGCAGATCGTCGGGGGGTGTGGAAAGCGACGCGATATCACGAGGCCCACGCGCCCGGATCCTCGAAGCCGCTTCGGCTTCCGATCGTCTCCCTCCGTCGCGGGATGGGATGCGATCGTGCTGGGGATTTGGTGGGGGAATCCGTCGATCGTCGGGTCAGGAGGATATCGAAGTTGGTGCGGCGGGCGGTGCTGCTGCTACTGCTACCGCGACTTGACAGAGTCGGCAGAAGACATGGCAGCTCCCAATCCGAGGATGTGCAGGTTGCCAAGCTGATTTTTTTAGCTTCTACTCCTACTACAGGCGGTGGCTAGGGCTACTCCATACTTAATCTTTGACTAGAGCGCACATGTGCAGTGCGACTTAATCGCTCGTTAAAACTTAAAACCAGCTGCACGCAGTACAGCTGCGAGGATTTTACACACAGAGAATCATGGAAGATGTGATCAACTCCCACAAGGAGAATCCTTTTTCATTTACGGTTTTGCTATTCGTTAGGTACCTGAAATCATGATTTGGCCTAGTCGATTTTTCGCTATTCCTTAGGTACCTGAAAACGTGATTTGCCCTAGTCGGTTTCTTTGCTATTCCCTAGGGGTGCGTTTTGGTAGGCTACATACAGCCCAACCAGGCTCGAGCGGAATGAAAATGGTCTGTGGTTGCGTGCACGGAGGTCTGGCTCGCATCGGCACGATACTTAAAACACCCCAGAGCCTGACTCGCTGAAAACGCTTAAATCGGCCGTTTCTAGCGAGCCATGCTGATTTGGGCGCAAAACCTCGTCCAACATAGGGCACAGTGCAGGGGGGATTCGAGCGGAGATGGC